TGGCTCCTGTTCTACTTTTAGAGACTATAGGAACCACAAGTAGCCCTGCAGACCCCAGTGGGTCACAGTGCTGCTTGAAGTAAGACTTATAATTCAGAAAAATGGTGTTATACTATTATATGTTATATTATTGGATAGTTACTGATGTTTTAATGTGTAAGTGCCATTTTTATACCACTTGTGTAGTTTGTTGCTGTCAGCAGGGGTTACTGCTTCAGTTTCTTGGGGGAATTTAAAAATATATATATCCACATATTGAGTCAGTTTGCACCTGCATGTGAAAAACTAGCTAACACAGAAGTTAAGAAAGTTAAAGTTTATTTATTTTGTTTTAGTTGTGGGTGGTAACATAATAGTGATAGCGTTAAAATAGTTAGCTAAAAGCAAAGGATAAAGTGTTGAGTTAGATAGTTAGCAAAAAGTGATGCATAGACTGCTAAAATAACTAGCTTAAAGTAAATGATACATGGCTGAAAGTGATTAAAATATAGTTAAATAGTTGAAATAATTAGCTAAAACTGAATAATAAATGTTAAAATAGCTGATGGATACAGCTGATGTGTGACCTAATTGTTGATGAAGTCCTAAATCCATCTGACGGGCTGTTGATGGAACCAGTGGCTGCATCATGTTTTATAAGCTCAGATCTTAATCTGTAAAGTCACTACAGCTGTCAAATAAAAGTCCAATATTCCCTCTAAACTGTAGAGAATAGAAGTGAAATAGAAACATTAAAGTACATAATCCCCCCTCTTTGTGTTCCCCAGGTAGTGGCCATAGTCATGGACCTCCTGACAGACCTGCAGATCCTTCAGGACCTGCTGGATGCGTCATCGCGGCGCGGGGTGGCTGTCTACGCCGTGCTGGAGGCGGGGGGAGTGCCCCACTTCCTGGATATGTGCGCACGGCTGCAGGTTAACGCGGTGCATCTGCGGGTGAGGAAGGGAGCTCAGCACACACTGACAGAGCTGACAGATGAGTGCTGCAGAGGGAGGAGGCTCGCTAATACAATACACAAAGAGCAAACGAACACGGAGAGAGTTTCAGTGGGTCACAGCTCTGCCTCCTTTAGCAGACAACAGCAGTGACTTAAGTACTTTTAGGGATTAAGAGGTCTCATGTATCATATGTCACACTCTTCAGGAAATACCTGACATTTAAAAGACCACAGACGTGTTTGTTTTGGAGGTTTATTAAACCTCCGGCCTGTTAAAACATGATCATTAGTTGCATAATCAAATAGTTTTGTTCCTCAGATATGAAGTAGCCGCTGCATTCTGCTCTTTTTAAAGGGTCAGTGCATTCAAACCACAAATAGTTTCAGTTCAGGATTTTGACTTCACAACAACACAATGGAGGTGAAAGGAACTGACAGCATTGAAAAACAACAAGTGAGAAACTCAACACCGCCCTTTATTTCCAGGAATGGTGTCTGAAGATAATTATTTGAATTCCACACCAGCATAATTTAATGTTTATTTGCATTTTCATAATCAAATGATAGTAGAGTTATGCTACTGAGCTTCTTAAGTGGTTTGTAAACCAACAGCGGTCCTTAAGCAGGTCGTTGGGCAAAAGGAGGAATAAAATATTTTAACTTTTATCACATTGTTGTCAAGAAATAGGGTTGGCTGTTTTTATTCATTGCAATTTATAGTGAATCTGAAGAATTTATAATCTTGCCTAGAAAAAGATCTGTTTATGTGCTCCTGCTATAAGCTGCTATAGATGTAAAGTATTGCGATTTGATTTATAATAGCAGCTACACTTTCACATAAATATAATAAAAGTGTGAATGCTGCGTAAACCAAAGTTAGTGAATAAGATGTGATGTGAATGGCAGTTGAGATTCAAGGTTATTTTATTGTCATTTACGATTGCACGGTTGTAGAATGAAATTGAGATATAGTTACCTTTTATGCTCCTTTTAAAGCAGAGGTTGCTCCTGCAGTTTAATTGGGGGTCAAAAGATAGTAGCAGGAGGTGGAAGAACTAGAAACTATGATTTATGTGATCATAATCGTACATAGTGAGTCAGCTGATACACCTGAACTAGGCCATAGTATGCTCTTTTTCAGGTTCATACTTGTATATGGACCTGTTAGAAAAGGTTAATATGCTTTAATGTTGAAAAAACTTGTTTCTCTCATACATTGCTGTCCAATCTGTCATCTTGTTTTGGGTAAAACGAAGTCAAGAAGTGAACACAGAACTGTCTGTTTAAACAGATCATTGCTGTGTCACACTTTTAAATCTATGAGCTTGGGGAAAAGGCGTCAAGTGTTTTTAAGTAAAGTAAATACAAATGTACAATGGTGGGTATCAAACATAAGATCTTTGAGGAATTACTGGGATACGAAAAGATGAAATATTTCAGAAAACAGATGGTCTGGCTCCATTTTGACCCACTGATGCATTAAATATAATCATCTTACTTTTATGAATTAACATAACACAGTTCTGTGTGTTCTACGTTGCAGTGGCTGAGAAATTATAGTAAGTGTTGATCTAGATTAAGAGAGGACAGCGGTTCACTGAGCCAGACTGTCATCCTATCTCCACAGAGACACAATACCCAGCCTTATCTGCTGTACGCAGAGTTTTTAGCTCCAGTCGAGTTTAACTGGAGCACTGGAATACCTTCCCATTGTGGTGTCGGTTGATAAGGCTGTGAAAGGCCTTTTCAGAGCGCTGGGCTCTGTTACTCTTACTTCTTACAAATGAACATTCATAGATCCTGAGAATAGATCCAAAGACTGTAACTTGATGCTTCGCCCCACACAGAGGCTGACGGCAGTGGAAAGCCTCCTCCCAAAGTGTCCACTCACAGTTTACGTCTCCTTTTTCTTTCTTTTCTGTTTCTTTCTGTTTCTTTCTCTTCCCTTTAAGTAAACATATGTGGCTGAAGGGTTTGGGTTTTCCGTCTTGACTTTATGTTCCAGTTGACTTTATGTTGCAAGGTGTGACACGGCAGTTTGACTTGGCATCTCTTTGAGTCATTCATGCATGATACAGCAGGGGGACGTTCGATAGCTGTGGCTGAGTGAGTTTACTCAGGCTCACCCGTGTGATGCTAAGCCAGCTGAAATGTGTAATTAAGCGGGTGTTTCTTTACAGAATCTCCGTGTGCGGATGGTGAAAGGTGCAGGGCTGGCCCTGTCATTTGGAAAGCTGCCCGGCTCCCTGTGCTCCAAATACATGCTGGTAGATGGAGAGAAAGTCATGTTTGGGTCTTACAGGTGAGCAATGATGTCTTAAACTCACACACTGAGACGTTGCAGCTGAGACTGGACTCTACTGTGGGGATTTAACACCAAAACTGAACTGTTATTTATTATTGTAGGTAACTCCAAAGTTTCAGTCCAGTGAAAGAAACACATTTTATATAAAGGGTAAAAAAAAAAAAAAAGAGCTTTTACAAAACCAATAAGATGACATGCATGAATACAAAAGTTTAAAAAGATTTAATCATAAATACATCATGTGAGAGAAGAGAACTGAAGAGTAGTTCACATACAAGGAATTTGTCTTGGTAAATTGGTGCATAACAATAAAACATAAACAATATAAATAAAGACAAAATAGAGGCAATGAAAAAGAAAATATGTACAAATATAAAAAGAGATAATATGACCGTTATATAAATGAATTAAGTGGTGTACAGGTAAGTGTTCCTGTACAATGAATTGTTGACAATAAAAACATACAACAATCAATTAATTTGTGCATAAAAAAAACCTTCATGGAAATGCAAACAATTTGAAAATATCTCAAATAATCACCTGCCAATAACAATTGTTGTGTTTTTGTTAGCTTGGAATGAGCTTTTCGAGTTTTTATCTACTGAAGGAGTGGTGAACTCTTGGTGAGCCGCCATGTTTCTACAGTAGCCCAGAACGGACAAACCAATCACTGGCTCTAGATAGGGCCTTTTGCATTTTTCTCTAGTTTCACAGCCACCGTAGTTTTTCTTACACACTTGGAAGGCTAGTATTTAGTTGGTTGCAATATGCTACTTCACTGCTCGATGCCACTCAGTCCTAAACACTGGACCTTGGCCAAATACAAAGCCTGGAAACAGTGGGAAACAGCCTGACTCTGTTCAAAGGTAACAAACTACCTCTACCAGCACATTTAACTTCTATCAAATAACTTTTTATTATTACATATTTGCTGAGACTTCCACCATATCCTGACAGTAGTAGATTTGACAAAAACATGTCTCTGGCAATGGCATTTGCAAGAACCAACTACACTTGAACAAAAACAAACAATTAGAGCAGAGAAAGATTGAATGATTGTTGAGTCTCATTCCCAGGTTGTCAAATGCTGACACTTTGGGACTCAAATATAAAAGTTATCTACTGCAGCTTTAATCCACACAGGAACCAAGTGTAGAAATGACAATTTGCCGTTGTAGGGGGGTTATAATCAGGACTATTTCTTGGTACTTAGCAGTTGCCAGGCAACCAGTGGAGACTCCAGGAAGTTACTGCTCCCAAGTC